CAAATTTTTATGAAAATAAAGAATGATAAATGGAAATTATTCTTTTAAAATCAAGGTAAAAACTAATGACAAAGATCTTAGTCTATGCTCCTGTATATAGTCTAGTCTATGGTCTAGTTTATAGTCTAGTCTACAATCTAGTCTATAGTCTAATCATAGTATAGACTATAGTCTAGTCTATAGTCTAGTCTATAGTCTAGTCTATAGTCTAGTCTATAGTCTAGTCTATAGTCTAGTCTATAGTCTAGTCTATAGTCTAGTCTATAGTCTAGTCTATAGTCTAGTCTATAGTCTAGTCTATAGTCTAGTCTATAGTCTAGTCTATAGTCTAGTCTATAGTCTAGTCTATAGTCTAGTCTATAGTCTAGTCTATAGTCTAGTCTATAGTCTAGTCTATAGTCTAGTCTATAGTCTAGTCTAAAGTCTAGTCTATAGTCTAGTCTATAGTCTAGTCTATAGTCTAGTCTATAGTCTAGTCTATAGTCTAGTCTATAGTCTAGTCTATAGTCTAGTCTATAGTCTAGTCTATAGTCTAGTCTATAGTCTAGTCTATAGTCTAGTCTATAGTCTAGTCTATAGTCTAGTCTATAGTCCTAGTCTATAGTCTAGTCTATAGTCTAGTCTATAGTCTAGTCTATAGTCTAGTCTATAGTCTAGTCTATAGTCTAGTCTATAGTCTAGTCTATAGTCTAGTCTATAGTCTAGTCTATAGTCTAGTCTATAGTTCTAGTCTATAGTCTAGTCTATAGTCTAGTCTATAGTCTAGTCTATAGTCTAGTCTATAGTCTAGTCTATAGTCTAGTCTATAGTCTAGTCTATAGTCTAGTCTATAGTCTAGGTCTATGTCTAGTCTATAGTCTAGTCTATAGTAGTCTATAGTCTAGTCATATAGTCTAGTATATAGTCTAGTCTATAGTCTATCTATAGTCTAGTCTATAGTCTAGTCTATAGTCTAGTCTATAGTCTAGTCTATAGTCTAGTCTATAGTCTAGTCTATAGTCTAGTCTATAGTCTAGTCTATAGTCTAGTCTTAGTACTAGTCTATAGTCTAGTCTATAGTCTAGTCTATAGTCTAGTCTATAGTCTAGTCTATAGTCTAGTCTATAGTCTAGTCTATAGTCTAGTCTATAGTCTAGTCTATAGTCTAGTCTATAGTCTAGTATATATAGTCTATAGTCTAGTCTATAGTCTAGTCTATAGTCTAGTCTATAGTCTAGCTATAGTCTAGTATATAGTCTAGTCTATAGCTAGTCTATAGTTCTAGTCTATAGTCTAGTCTCTAGTCTAGTCTATAGTCTAGTCTATAGGTCTAGTATATCGTCTAGTCTATAGTCTAGTCTATAGTCTAGTCTATAGTCTAGTCTATAGTCTAGTCTATAGTCTAGTCTATAGTCTAGTCTATCGTCTAGTCTATAGTCTAGTCTATAGTCTAGTCTATAGTCTAGTCTATAGTCTAGTCTATAGTCTAGTCTATAGTCTAGTCTATAGTCTAGTCTATAGTCTAGTCTATAGTCTAGTCTATAGTCTAGTCTATAGTCTAGTCTATAGTCTAGTCTATAGTCTAGTCTATAGTCTAGTCTATAGTCTAGTCTATAGTCTAGTCTATAGTCTAGTCTATAGTCTAGTCTATAGTCTAGTCTATAGTCTAGTCTATAGTCTAGTCTATAGTCTAGTCTATAGTCTAGTCTATAGTCTAGTCTAGTAGTCTAGTCTATAGTCTAGTCTATAGTCTAGTCTATAGTCTAGTCTATAGTCTAGTCTATAGTCTAGTCTATAGTCTAGTCTATAGTCTAGTCTATAGTCTAGTCTAGTCTAGTCTATAGTCTAGTAATCACTAGTATATAGTATAGTCTGTGGTGTAGTCTAGGCCTAAAACAGCAATCATTAAGTCAATAGAAAAAGGTGGCATCCACGGTAATATAACAACAACAAAACACATGAAATGCAATCAGTTAGTTACGCAGTTTCAATAACAGCCGTAACCTGTCATAACAAGAAAAGGACTAATGAACACAAAATATTACGAATAAAAAAAAAGTGGAACCACAACGTGAGGTCCATTATATGATCATACCTTAGAGTATGATCAATGGGTTGGATGGATGGTTGGCTGAATGGCAGGTTTTTATTCAGTTTTTTTTTTTCAAACCCACAAATTGCGAGCAAAAACCACAGAAACCAACACACGCGTCATATTTTTGATCGTAAAATAAAACAAATTTTATAATAAATTGTAGGTTTTTCTTCTTTTTTTTTCGTTTGAGTTGATATGAGCTGAACGTTCAAGCCATTAAGTTTGTGTTTTTTTTATAAGTTTTGTTGAACCAGTTTTAAAAATAAATTGTAAGTAATTTTTACAATTATTCTGAAGGTTGCACAGGATGTTTGTAGTTTCTCTTACACACACTCTTAAGATATTTGTTTGAAGGGCAGCCAACAGCAGCCGGCAATGTATGGAAGTTCAAAGATTTATTTTCTGTTCACTCTGCAAGTTTCGTGGAAATCAGCAGTATTTTGTAGGGCCAACGTAATTGTTAACAGTAGGATGAGTTTTGTTTCCAAAGCAAAATGTAGTAGTTTAGAAGGGAAGAAGTTATAGGCTAGACTATAGACTAGCCTATAGACTATACTATAGACTAGACTATAGACTAGACTATAGACTAGACTATAGACTAGACTATAGACTAGACTATAGACTAGACTATAGACTAGACTATAGACTGGACTATAGACTAGACTATAGACTAGACTATAGACTAGACTATAGACTAGACTAGATTAGACTATAGACTAGACTATAGACTAGACTATATACCAGACTATGGACGAGACTATAGACTAGACTATAGACTAGACTCTAGACTAGACTATAGACTAGACTATAGACTAGACTATAGACTAGACTATAGGCTAGACTATAGGTTAGACTATAGGCTAGACTATAGACTAGACAATAGACTAGCCTAAGAATAGCCTATCAACTAGCCTATAGACTAGACTATAGACTAGTCTATAGAATAGACTATAGACTAGACAATAGACTAGCCTAAAGACTAGCCTATCAACTAGCCTATCAACTAGCCTATCAACTAGACTATAGACAGACTATATACTAGACTAGACTAGACTATAGACTAGACTATAGACTAGACTATAGACTAGACTATAGACTAGACTATAGACTAGACTATAGACTAGGCTATAGACTAGACTATAGACTAGACTATAGACTAGACTATAGACTAGACTATAGACTAGACTATAGACTAGACTATAGACTAGACTATAGGACTAGACTATAGACTAGACTATAGACTAGACTATAGACTAGACTATAGACTAGACTATAGACTAGACTATAGACTAGACTATAGACTAGACTATAGACTAGACTATAGACTAGACTATAGACTAGACTATAGACTAGACTATAGACTAGACTATAGACTAGACTATAGACTAGACTATAGACTAGACTATAGACTAGACTATAGACTAGACTATAGACTAGACTATAGACTAGACTATAGACTAGACTATAGACTAGACTATAGACTAGACTATAGACTAGACTATAGACTAGACTATAGACTAGACTATAGACTAGACTATAGACTAGACTATAGACTAGACTATAGACTAGACTAAGACTAGACTAAAGACTAGACTATAGACTAGACTATAGACTAGACTATAGACTAGACTATAGACTAGACTATAGACTAGACTATAGACTGGACTATAGACTAGACTATAGACTAGACTATAGACTAGACTATAGACTAGACTATAGACTAGACTATAGATTAGACTATAGACTAGACTATATACCAGACTATGGACGAGACTATAGACTAGACTATAGACTAGACTATAGACTAGACTATAGACTAGACTATAGACTAGACTATAGACTAGACTATAGGCTAGACTATAGGTTAGACTATAGGCTAGACTATAGACTAGACAATAGACTAGCCTAAAGAATAGCCTATCAACTAGCCTATAGACTAGACTATAGACTAGTCTATAGAATAGACTATAGACTAGACAATAGACTAGCCTAAAGACTAGCCTATCAACTAGCCTATCAACTAGCCTATCAACTAGACTATAGACTAGACTATATACTAGACTATAGACTAGACTATAGACTAGACTATAGACTAGACTATAGACTAGGCTATAGACTAGACTATAGACTAGACTATAGACTAGACTATAGACTAGACTATAGACTAGGCTATAGACTAGACTATAGACTAGACTATAGACTAGACTATAGACTAGACTATAGACTAGACTATAGACTAGACTATAGACTAGACTATAGACTAGACTATAGACTAGACTATAGACTAGACTATAGACTAGACTATAGACTAGACTATAGACTAGACTATAGACTAGACTATAGACTAGGCTATAGACTAGACTATAGACTAGACTATAGACTAGACTATAGACTAGACTATAGACTAGACTATAGACTAGACTATAGACTAGACTATAGACTAGACTATAGACTAGACTATAGACTAGACTATAGACTAGACTATAGACTAGACTATAGACTAGACTATAGACTAGACTATAGACTAGACTATAGACTAGACTATAGACTAGACTATAGACTAGACTATAGACTAGACTATAGACTAGACTATAGACTAGACTATAGACTAGACTATAGACTAGACTATAGACTAGACTATAGACTAGACTATAGACTAGACTACTAGACTAGACTAGACTATAGACTAGACTATAGACTAGACTATAGACTAGACTATAGACTAGACTATAGACTAGACTATAGACTAGACTAAAGACTAGACTATAGACTAGACCATAGACTAGACCATAGATTGGAATAGACTATAGATTAGACTATAGACTAAACTATAGATTATACTATAGAGTAAATGTATGATGTATTTGAAACGATTTAATTTTTGAAGACAATTTATTAATTTTTATCACTCTCTTTCTCTTTTCAGATTGTCACGCTCTCTCAAGGTAAATATCGAAAGAAAACCATAAAAAGTTTCTTGAAACTAAGAAAATAAGTCAATTATATTTAAAGTTGAAGTCTTTTAAACTGCAGTTTCAAATCTATAATGAATTTTAAATTTCCAATTTGCATGTTATTTACAAAAATCTGCAAAATTTCTTTAAGTGTAAAAATGTATTCTATAACTTGTAGGCAAACAGCAAATAAATAGGGATAACGATGTTGCAACAACATAATTATATATGTTTGTTACTTTTCCTTTGTCTTTGCTATTGGCTTTTCCTCCCTAAAGATTGTTATAATTCTAAGGTTGAAAGTTGTGGTTACTTTCAAGCAAACCGTGACAGTTGCAACAAATATATATTCAAGAGATCAGCAATCGGAAGTAAACATTATTGAAATATTTATATATATAGTTATACATACATATGTATATAGGTAAATTAAATTGAAGCATTAAATAAAAAAATAATAATAACTAGTTCATTCACTATTCTTACAATAATGATCTTCACAAAATTGTTTATAAAAAAGAAACCGATTACTTGTTTATAGTGGTGTTGTAGTTGAATGATCATATGTGTTTAAACAACTAGCAAGATCGTCTGCTCAATCAACTTGAAATTAATTTTAAACCAGATTTTTATATATATTTTTTTTTTTTAAGCAAACATTCTAAATGATTATTACATTATACATAATTTTTTTATCTTTTTAACCTGTTGTACTCTGGCACTACATGAATATATAATTTATATATTTATTTTTTTTCTTAAAAGTTCTTTATAGACTTGTTATAAAATTATTCTTGTATGTTGATGATTTCTTGTAGAGAAGAGACGTGATCATTTTCATTTTTCTTCAATGAAAACGAAACAGGAAATTTAAAGTTGAACAGGATGTTGCGAGTGTTTGTTGTTGTTATTGTTGGGAGTATGAGTTAAGAGATTAATAGTAATGATTTAGTTTTAAATTTAAAAATTTAAATTAATATTATTTTAATTAAAGTAATTGGTAGTCAGAACATAGTTGTGTTGTTTTTTATAAGAAATGGCGTAGTAGTTTGTAAGATAATTAGTATTCTAGCAGGCGTTCGTTGTATAAGGGAAATTATAGTTTTTTCTTCCAGTGAAATCATTAAATTATTAAAAGATTAAAAAAATTAAGTTAATTTTAAAATAAAATTATATAGAAAAAATAATATATCGTTGCTATATCTGGACTATAGACTAGACTACATACTATATATTGTAGACCATAGGTTTATAGACTGGACTAATGATTAGACTATAGACTAGATTATAGTCTAAACTATGGATAAGATTATACACTAGGCTACGGACTAAACTACACTAGAAGTAGATATTATATTATAGGCTATACTGTAACCTAAACACTAGATTATAGCCTGTACTATGGGCTACATACCAAACTACAGACTAGACTATACTATATAACAGGCTATAGAAAATACTTTATACTAAACTTTAGACTAAACTATAGACTAGACTAAAGAATATAATATATGCTAGAGTATAGAATGAATTATAGACTAGCCTAGAGACTATTGACTTAACTATAGATTACACTATAGATAAGAAAACAGACTACACTACAAACCAGAAAATGAAGTAGACTTAGGACTAGACTATCGACTAGACTATAGACTAAACTGTAGACTTGACTATTGACTAGACTATATAATAGTCTATAGTGTCTATATAGTCTAGTCTATAGACTAGTCCATGGACTAGACTATGGACTAGACTATAGACTATACTATAAACTAGACTATAGATTAGACTATATACCAGACAATAGAGTAGACTATAGACTAGACTATATTAGACTATAGACTAGACTATTGACTACACTATGGACTAGACTAAAGCTTTGACTAAAGACTAGACTTAGGATTATACTATAGACCAGATTATAGACTAGACTATTGACTAGACTCTAGACTGACTTAGCGACTAGACTGGACTTTAAACTAGATCTTGGACTAAACTTTAGACTAGATTCTAGTCTTCACATTAGACGAAACTTTAGAATAGAATTTATGCTAAACTTTAGTCTAAACTTTAGATTATATTCTAGACTAAACTGTACACTAGACTGAAGACTAAATTATAGATTATGCTATAGAATAGACCATTGGCTAGACTATAGACCAGACTGGGCTATAGACTAGACTACCCTATAGACTATACTAGACATTCGACTAGACGTTAGACTAGTCTTTAGACCAGACTTTAGACTAAACTTTACACAGTAATTAAGACTAGGCTTTAGAGTATACTTTGGACTAGACTTTAGATTAGACTTTAGACTAGACTTTAGACTAGACTTTAGACTATTCTTTAGACTACACTTCAGACTAGACATTAGACTAGACTTTAGACTAGTGTTTGGACTAGACTTTAGACTAGTTTTCAGAATAGACTTTAAACTAGAATTTGGAGTACACTTTAGACTAGACCTTAAACTACAATTGGCTAGACTTTAGACAAGTGTTTAGACTAAACTTTAGACTAGACTTTATACTGTCTTCAGGCTATACTCTAGGCTAGACTTTAGACTAGACTTGACTAGACTGACTTTACACTAGAATTTAGGCTAAACTTTAAACTAGACTTTAGACTATACTTTAGACTAGACTTAAGACTAGACTTTAGACTAGACTTTAGACTAGCCTTTAGACTAGACTTTAGACTAGATTTTAGACTAGACTTTAGACTAGACTTTAGACTAGACTTTAGACTAGACTTTAGACTAGACTTTAGACTAGACTTTAGACTAGGTTTTAGACTATTCCTTAGACTAGACTTTAGACTAGACTAGACTAGACTTTAGACTAGACTTTAGACTAGACTTTAGACTAGACTTTAGACTAGACTCTAGACTAGACTTTAGACTAGACTTTAGATTAGACTTTAGACTATACTTTAGACTAGACTTTATACTAGACTTTAGACTAGACATTAGACTAGACTTTAGGCTAGACTTTGGACTAGACTTTAGACTAAACTTTAGACTAGACTTTAGACTGGACTTTAGATTAAACATTAGACTAGACTTTAGAATAGACTTTAGACTAGACTTTATATAAGACTTTAGATAATACTTTAGACTAAACTTTAGACGAGACACTAGATTAGACTTTAGAATAGACCTTAGACTAGACTTTGGAGTAGACTTTGGGCTAGACTTTTGACTAGACTTTGGACTAAACTTTAGACTAGACTTTAAACGAGATACTAGACCTTAGGATAGACTTTAGACTAGGCTTTAGGCTAGACTTCAGACTATACTTTACTTTACTTTTGGACTTTAATAGACTTTACACTAGACTATACATATCAATTCAATTACCTATCAACATTTTCACATTCTTTTCTCTAAGTGTAATAAATTTTGCCAATTTTTATAAATTCAATTTCACTTTCTTTTTTCCACAAATTTCTACGAAAAAAAAAATAGAAAAGAAACAATTCAACAATAAAGCATTTTCTTTGTTCTACCAAACAAAATTTTATTATTATCAGCAACAAATATATGGAAAGTGAAATTTTATAAAAAAAAAATTCTGTTTTTATTTTAAAATGTCTCTATAACGATACACTTCCGTTTCATATAAAAAAAGACGACTATGGTTGGCCCACTAAAAAAAAATTATTTTTACTTGCATTTATATTGACAGCCATAATCGAAGTGGATTAAATGAATGTCGTAAAAAAACTGAAAAGAAAAGAACCATCATTTACCCTCATTCTCGATTACAAAACTTTTATAATTTCGTAATATAATCATTATAGAAAAACAATACTGTAACCATCATATGAAAAATTTCATTCATAAAATAAATGAATGGCTGGTTAAGTGGTTATTTTTTTGAACATGCTGCTGCGGGGGAAGCTTACAATTCTTTTTTTTTCAATTTTTTTTTTTTTACAAACTTTTTTAGTTCAAAAGATTTCAACACTTTTTTTGCTTGTTACTGCTGCCAGTGTTGTGATGTTGTCAGTTGTAAGTTGTCATGTTGTTTTGTGTTGCTGATGAACATGTGAGAATTTTAAGTTTCTTTTTATTTCTATTATTTTCAGTTAAAGAATAGATCGTAAAATAATTATGTATTTTGAAGTGGAAGTTTTATTACTCTTAACAAATAGAAGTCTTAGGGTGAAGAGTTGTTTTTTATCAATAAATCACTTTGCTTTTGTTTTTAAGCTCTACAGACTACAAATCAGTTTGTTTGCAACATTTGAAATTACTCTTTTTTATGTCAAAGAATGGGTCTGCTTTAAACAACAAAGGGTCCGATTTCCTCTAAACCATGTAGAAATTATGACACAGGAATCGTGTCTTCTTAAAGAAAAGCTTAAGAGTTGAGATTTACCGACTTACAATCTTCCACCCCTGAGTTTAAAGCCCCCAATGTTATATTTCAAATTGTAACGGTTCTTATGTTTACAAAAGTTGTTAAAGTGTCAAATATAATTATTTTACTATTAACACCTAAAAATAGTTCTTTATATTATTTATTTAGAAAAAAGAATAAATTAGTTTTTAAATCATTCATTAAGATTAAACTGGCGAAATAAAGATAACAAAAGTAATAAAACAAAAAAACTGAAAATTAAATTCAATAGTTATAAATTAATGCTAAACACACTTCAAGGAACCAAACAAAAAAAAAAAAAAAATTAAAAATCTAAAGTCTTTGTCATAAATATGCAAATTTTGTTTCAAGACAAGGTTGTAGTATTTGTTTAAACTTTTAAGAAAAGACACACGATTCACCCATATCACAGTGATTCGCAAAAAAAAACCTAACAATCAATTGAACTGGTTTTGGGGACTTAACACAAAATTACTTTTCAAAACGAATTGAAATTTTTGCAAACAAAATCATAGATATTGTTTGGGTTGAACAAAAGAATTTGATGACATATATACAAACAGTCAGACACAAAATAATAATGAAATATTGTTGGGATAATAAGCTTCGATAGAAATTTAAAGTGCGGGATTGTTTAAAAAAATAATTTAGAGCTGTCAATAGAATATGTTCAGTGTATTAATTTGTATTAAAATTTTCAGCTGTCAGTGTGGTGTGTTCAGTGAATGCATATAGGCATTAAAATAACAGTTTTTTATTCGATCTCTTCGATCAGAAATAGACTAGACTATAGACCATAAAACAGACCAGACTAAGGACTCGAATATAGACCGCACTAAGGACAGGGCTAGACTATAAACTAAACAATAGACTATAGTATCGATTAGAATATGGAATAGATGAAAGACAGGATTATAGACTATATTATAGACTAGACTATAGAATAGACTATAAAACAGACTGAATACTAGGCTATTGATTAACATATAGACCAGACTGTAGAGTAGACTATAGAGTAGATCATAGATTAGGATATAAACTAGGCTACAAAGCGGACTATAAACTAAACAATAAACTATAGTATATACTAGATTATAAACTACTAGACTACAAATTAAACTATATAGTACGCGATAGACTAGATTATGGACTAGACTACAGACTGGACTATAAACTAGGCAATTAACTAAACTATATACCTTAGTATAGACTAGTTAGTTAGTTAGTTAGTAAGCAGAATGTATATACATCAAATCCGAAGAAAAACACCTAGGCCTCTATCGGGCCTGTTGTGCGCTCCTTAACCAGTGCCTACGGTGGGAATCGAACCCACCACCTCCGGTCTACCAGACTAGAACACTAACCACTAACCTACCGGAGGCCACTAGATTTTAAACTAAATAACAAACTAGATTATAGACTAGACTATATAGTGGACTATAGACGAGGTTGTAGACTAGCACAAAGGGTAGCTTATAGACTAAACTTTAGACAAGACTATTGACTAGACTATAGACTACACTAAAGAGTAGACTATAGACCAGATTGTATATTAGACTATAGATATCGTGTATAATATTATAGACTAGGCTACATATTAGACTACAGACTTGACTATAGACTAGACTATATAATTGACTATGGAGAACGCTATAGAAAAGATTATAGACTAGACTATAGACTAGACTATAGACTAGACTTTAGACTAGACTATAGACTAGTATAATCTATAGTCTAGATTATACTGTAGACTAAACTATAGACTAGTATAATCTATAGTCTAGACTAGTCTATAGACTAGATTATAGACTAGACTATAGAGTAGACTATTGACTAGATTATAGACTAGACTATAAACTAGATTATAGAGTAGACTATTGACTAGATTATAGACTAGACTATAAACTAGATTATAGACTACACTATAGACCAGATTATAGACTACACTATAGACTAGGCTATAGACTAGACCATAGACTAGGCTGTAGACTTGACTATAGACTAGATTATAGACTACACTATAGATTAGGCTATAGAGTACTCCATAGACTATGCTATAGACTATACTATAGACTAGGCTATAGTTTAGACAATAGACTAGGCTATAGATTAGACTAAAGACTAGGCTATAGACTAGACTATAGACTGGGCTATAGATTAGACTATAGACTAGGCTATAGATTAGACTATAGACTAGGCTATAGATTAGACTATAGACTAGGCTATATATTAGACTATAGACTAGGCTATAGATTAGTCTATAGACTAG